ATTTGTTCAATCCTGTACTTATCACCCAAGCCTTATGTGAGCACTGATATCGCACTGCAACTAAATTCAAGCATCATGCAACTACAGAAAACATAATGAACACACATCGTGCGATACAGAGCTTTATATACAAACTGCTCTAATAACTTGGTACATGCATGTGTCTCTGTTCTCTCATTCTATAGAAACCCAATTTAATATCATGCACACAACTTGAATTTAGCTGTCTTCTGCACTTAATTTGAATAGAGACTAGCATGAGTAACAAATCTGTTAGTTCTGAGGACATTTCTGAACGGCCTCATCCTCAAGCTCTCTCACTCAGGCACAGGAGAGGAAAACAAACAAAACAAACAAAAACAAACAAACAAAAAGACACAACACCCCACAAATGTAGAACTCCAAATCTGTCCTTGATTCCCTCCAATTCTGAACCAATTTTAGATTTTTTCAAATGGAATTAGCAAAAATTGTTATTTTACCTTGTGAAATATTCAATAAAGAGCTCTCACAGACTTTGTTAGAGACATACATGATGTTAGAAACGCAAAATTTTAAATGCACCTACTTAAAGGAAGCCCATATATGCTATATATAAAACACATAGAGGCCACCTCCAGACAGCAAGAAGAGCAAGTAATTTGTGCTTTGACGAACACAATATATTGAATCCAAAATACAGCAAGTACTAGAACACTCAAATGCACTTCCAAATGACTCAAAAGTTGAATACAGCGGAAATTATGGAAAATTGTTCTAGTCACTAAGGAATTAAATGACTCATATGAGGTTATGAACGAGGAACCAATCCAGTGGTATTGGAGAATCTTCTTTGCCTGTAGGCTAATAATAAGTGGCTGTCTGCTCAGAAAAAAAAAAAAAATCCAATAACTATATGGAGATGAAAAAAAATTCCTGATGATTCATAAAAAAGAAGACTCAAAGTTATATTCTATAACTCAAAACAAACATTTTTAAGAAAAAAAAAATACTCAAATCGCCCACTGCTATGGAATTCAAACTATTTGCTTTTAAATCAGGTGAAAACTGTTTAGTGCTTCACTAAGTAAAAATCAATTTTATTCTACCCCCAAACACAAAATCTGTTTTGCCAAGATAACTTGATTTTTATGCTACCAGTAAATATTTTAATTTTGATTTATCAGACCTCTGTATTTTCTGAATGCAGTCATGGTGAACATGGTCTGATCTTGAAAGGCTGCATGTTGTCTTTTCTTGTGGTAATCAATACTCCATCTCATAAAGCTAAGCATGCTAAAATCCTGCATTAATTTATCATACTCTCTTTTAACAAAAAAACCCCACTCTCCCCACTCCAAAGAACACTAGTAAAGAGAAGAAATTGTATTAAGAAATTTGCTTGTTGCACCATGCACCAGTCATAACCTCCTCCCCTCGGCAGCTTCCCAAGGAGCGTTAAACAAGTGAACAAGGAAGGAATCTTTCTGAGAGCAAAAACATGCTGTGTGCTGAGAGCAACTGCCCAGTTACTTCATGGCTTGTTGTGTGCATCTTTGTTGTGAGTAGTCACAACAGTAGTATTTGACATCACCACCTATCAGAAAAATAGTAATAGTTAACTCTTCTCACCTGCAGCAATTTCATGCCTGCAGGAATAGCAGACAATTAGATTTCTTACCAGAAATCCTGTTTCTGTTTCCTAACATACCAAAAAAAGTTTCCATGAAATGCATGAGCACTGTTCTAAGTTCCTAATTATGGTTTTATTCACACTAAAAATAGTTTTTTTTTTTTTCAATAGTCTCAAACATCTTAGCAGGTTTGTTGCAAAGAAAGAGAGAATACAATAAGCATATCTACTCAAAATCAGTTATAAATAATAAGAACAATAATTAGCACCTACTGTTAACACTTTGTACTTTTTACAGCAAAGTGCTGTAAAAATACTGTTCTTCTATGTGGTATATGAATACTGCCTTTATCTAGAAAACTGTAAAACTGCACTACAGTTATAGTTCAGTTTATAGCTAAAACTGTGCGCCTTCTAATCCATGCCTTGTATTCATGTGTGCTTGATGCAAGTGGAATGGAAAGTGAATGATTCACAGATTGAAAACCTGGCTGCAATCTGCCCTGAGTAAATGTCAGAAGCAGAATTGGAACTCAGGAGTTTCTTGGCTCTCAGTTCTGGATTTACTCAAGCAAAACATGAACAACAGAAACTAACGAATATTGAAACTTGTCAATTTTTATGCATGAAAAATAGGATGTAAGGCAAAAGTAAATAATATTTTTAGAAAATAAAGATATTTCACATACCACTACGAAACACCTAAAATGTTTTGACTACCTGCTCAATTACAACAATATATTCATCCCAGATTTGCAAACACTAAAAACAAATATAAAAATTAATAGTGTAGAAAAAAAAGTCAGGCTTAAACTTACTAAATGTTTTACAGGTTAAAGTAATGAAGGAATAGACTTCATATAACTGTGGGGACTGAATTTCTTCAGTATAAAAAGAAAGATCATTCATATTTGTTGCTTGTGAAATTTTCTAGTGACATATTTACTGCTGCAAAGCAGAGGAACAAAAAGTCACACACTTCTCCATTTGTGAAGGCTGGAAGCATTCAAATTAGCAGCTAGAAAGCATTGGCTAAATCAATGCAGACACCACAGTTTTTGTATGACTATTAGAAACCTGTTACTACCCTTACACCAAGCTGCATTTCTACTTTTAGAGAAAAGGTCACCGAATCTACAGATACAATGCAACACTCCAGTATAAGAAAAAGAAACTAAATAGTCTTTTTCAATACTGTGTATATCTCCATCTGGATGAGTTCCCAAAATCTCGAGGTGCTCAGCCAGACACCTCGTTCCTCCCAAACCGCCCTCGCAGGACAGGCACGTGCTGAGCTGGCCCTTGCAGTGTCCAGTCCTCACAGAGGCCTGGTTCCACCTAACCACCCAGAATGTTGCCAAAACAAGCTTTTCATCTACTGTTTGATACCCAGGAACAACAGCACTTACATAGGGAGGGAAATCAAGCAAAAGAGAACAGAAACGTGTCTCTCTTCTAAGAAATGACCACTCTAATCAGGAGGCTGTTGCCTGCTCAGACTGGCCAGGCTTTTTCACGTCCACACATGTGCACACAGATAAAAGATTTTGCTTACATCCTAACACAGAAAATAGCTAAAAGACATTTGACAGAAGCTCTAGAAAGCAACATTTTTTGCTATTACTCCAGTTTGCTACTTGTTTACACTTTTGGTGTTGTGAATACCCTGATTAAACTGCCTACCAATTGATATTCAGCTTTGGAAGACTTTCAATGTCACATATGATGCTCTAAAACAGAATTTCCTGAACGATATTTCAACTCTTTTTTTTTTTCTTCATTTATTCGTACAAGCTTACCATAGGACCTTAATAATGTATTTAATCACCAAACACAAGAAGCAAACCTTAACTGAATTTGCATCCCCTTTGGAGGATGCCCTGCCACTAAATTTCAGTCTTTTGTACCTTGCTGAGATTAGCACAATGCACAACTTCCAGCATTTCCAGTTTTCTTTAAAAATGTGGGCATAGTTATAAACATTGCATATTTCTGAACCTGGATTCCTAGGGTTGTTTTCAAACTTGTCCTGCAGATAGCTGCAAGCCCCTCTTCTCGAGCTGACCACCTGTTGAAAGCCTTGGTAGGACAATGACATTGGGGTTGAGGCCAAGCTAGTGCCTGGCCAGCTGTCATCTAGTGTCCCCTTTTGTTCAATGAGGGCTGTAACACTGGCCTGGCCTTGGTTTCTGTTTTGCTTAGAGCACAGGCAGAGCAATCTCTGTTTTCATGAGCATCACAAGCTTGCATTTTCTCAGACCAAGCCATACTGGACACACTCTCAGACCAGGCAAGCTAATGCAATGCATCTACTGAGATGGCTTCACCAACCCAGACTATAATTCAATGCAATTGTTCAACTTTTCTAAGCTAGCCTTAGTGCATAGGGCAGAAACGAATCACTCATCTACCACTGCTACTTGTTGCAGTGTCCCTCTGCTCTAACATACTCAGACTTCTTTGTCTTTTGTGATATAAACTGGCCATCTTAAAGTTCACTTGAACATCTTGCTGCTGTTTAGGCAACCACTAGTTATTGCTCTGTATGTGGCAAAGGAGTAATCCCCTTTTCACCAGCTACTAGACCTTTCTCCATTAGCCAATGCATTGGGTGAGGAAGACTACAAAGCCTGTTCATTTCTGACCCATTTCAAGTGCAATTAATTAACACAAGTGGATCTGTTTACAGCATTGCTGCTTTGAGCACGGTTCCTCAGAGCACAATGATTAAAGCAGACAGAAAAATTCTGCTGGGAACTTACTATGAAATAAATGTGTGGCAATTCTAGAAACCCAGAAAGCCTGATGAACAGCACCTCTGCTGCTGTTCCCTTTTGCACACATCATGCTTATCGGCAAATATCTTTTTCCATGGAATTTTGTTCAGATGCTAGAATAGTTGTCCACTAAGAGATGAGGAAAATTCCAGTACTGCGGCCACGACCAAATGCATTACTTACTGCCTTTCACAAATCATCTCTAACTCATGAAAGCATTAGGAATGATCTTTTTTTGTGCTTTATTAAAAAAAAAAAAGTTGATAAGCCATTGAAGAGAAACATTACTTATAATAATTCTGTAAAATAGTTTACTAAAAATTCTCACACATAAATTGCATTACTTGAATTTAAATCAGTATAGCTGTCAATCACTGTAAAACAACGTACACATCTGACTAAGTTTTGTGGAGTAAATGAAGACTGTACCACTAAATATATCAAAAGGCAAGAACTGCCTGTAGCGAAGTTATTCCACTGGTACAAATTAGTGAGCATATTTTAAAGACTTCCTTTCAGAGATTTCTTAAGTTTAGGGAGCTGGAGAAAATATTGTTTAGATGGAACAGAATTAACATGGATTCTTTCAGAAGGCAGAAAAAGCAATTTACCTGAAAAAGGTGACAAAGAACTGCACGAGATCCATGATAGTATTGTGCTGTGAGAAGGCAATCTGCAAATAAAATAAAAGGAAATTATAACATTTTTAGAATCAACAACTGCTTTTAGGCAGAGACTTCATGGCTGCATAGATGATCAACTTCAAGAGTGTTTAATTCTAGTGTGTACACATCTGCATTTACTGTAAAGTGAGATGAGTAGATAACCTCTATGTCTTTGTGTTAAAATACGAACGACGGAATATAGGCCTTCTATTGTAGTAAAGTTAATAGAAACATTTATATAAAAGTATTGCTGGATATACATAATACCAAGAACAACATTCAAAATATTTTAAATTATACTGATATAATTTTTTTTATAATTTTTTCAATGTATTCTATTTATCACTATTTGTCCATTATAGTTACACATTGAGAAAAGATTTTTAAAATGACAAACGTATTTAAATGCACAAATACAGTTAATTTAATTGCATAATTTTCAAGTGAGAATTGGATAAAATCGCTGCATAGTAAAACAAATTATTTCAAAGGAAGACAAAATTAAAAACAATTAACTACATTTTTAAAATGTCATCAGAACATGCACTCTTTACTAGAATTATGCAAAGATGCATACACACACTCACGCTTGCATGGAATAGAACCTGTAATTACTTTTAAACTAATGTTAGAGAATGCACTTAATATTTTTTCTGTAAATATGCCTTGATTTGTTTAGTGTTCATAGTGTATAATTATCAAAGTGAAGATACACAGAATTTTCTACTTTGAATTGCACAAAGTGTTTATTTAACTATACTCCCAGCCTATCCAAATAATTGTTTTTATAGATCTTTGTGCATTTAAGTTCTGATCATGACTAGTCATTACACCTAACCATTCTGATTCCCTTTCACGGCTTATTTGTGAACTTTCCAAATGATAACTCAAAATACTCAGGATTTATTTATTTATTTTTTAGAAAAAAATATAATGCAAACTTCAGTTTTGTAATGATGTGACTGTGCCTCGTGCCAGCTAACACAGCCAAACCATAGGTCAAAGTATCACTTGAGCTGTATGCACCTGAAAGCAGCATCATCCAAGAATAAGCACCAGGGCACCATCATGCAAATACTCTCCATAATCTCTGTTTTCTCTTCAGTTTGTTATTATTGCCAGTAGCATAAATAGAATTAAGAGCACAAAAAGCAGGTATTTCAAATGTGCCATGCCAAAACACCAAGGAAAGTACTAGCTAAATGAATCTGAGTAGGATTATTGCAGTAAACCCCTTGATATAAACTTTCCTCCCCTTACCAGCAAAATCTCATTAAACTGATTTAATCTCACTCCTCACTATGTGAGAAGGTGCCTAACTGCATGCACTTGGTTACTTAGGGATTAGGGAGCCTATAAAAACAAAAGCAGCTGAAGCCCATGCAGGATGAAGCAGGAGAGGGAAAGATCTCCCTCTGACTCCCTTTGCACTTTCAATTGACAAATGTTTTCATGTCAAAACGTCAAAAGATGCTGCCATGATGAATACTGTGTCAAAATTAGTGATAATAGAGACTAAAAATAAAAACAAAAATAAATATCAAGGAGAAATTATAGTAGGAAAAATTGGCAAAATACCTGCTAAAAGTAGCAAAGTAACCTTTACAAAGAAGAGGGGAAAACCTGTGTAAAGGTCTGAAGAGGTATTTGGCACAATAGGAAGTGTACCCAATTACAGGCAATCCTTTAAGTGAAAAAGAGCAAACTGCACTTTAAATGCAGGCAGGATTTCCTTCAAATAATACTTGGCATTCAAAATAACTGCCAGGTTTTTCAGAACATTTTTACATTATCACATTTCAAAAGACAAATTAATACAAACAGATAAAATAAGGCATTTTCAGAGTTCGTCTCTGATGACACTATTAAGGTGCTCTTGTTGAAGAAACATTTCAGTTTTACATTACTGCAATTATTTTCATTTAAGATGTCAGTATTGATTGAAAGTATTCTTCAAGGCTAGAAACAACTGTTATCAAGGAGAACTTCTGTAAGCAAAAATTGCAATCTGAATATAAATCAAGGAAAGTTTTAATCAAGTGGCTCTGAGAAAACTTGGTGCCTTTTTTTTATCCCTCTTTTTACCTACACAGTAAATGTGAAATAAGCAGATTTACAACAGTATAATGATTTTGTGTATCTATTAACAATTAAATATACAATTTTCACACCCCTAAGTTCAAGATGGAATAGACGGTCTTCACAGATGGAATAGCAAAATTAAAATAAAACTTTATGATGTTGTGTCTCACACCTGTACAGCTTCTATCACTGAAATCACAGAACTACTTAAGCAAATTAGAAATTACCATGTTCCTTTGATGCAGTTCATTTCTGCACATCAATACAAGAACTTCTATAAGAATTAATGTTTGTTTGTACAAGATATTCTCAGAAAATGCTCACTGTTTGCAGCAATGCCATCATAAACACTGTGAGATTATAAAGTTCTATTTCTGAAGTAATTTAAAACTGTATCAGGTATTATCTTCTAATGATTCCTAGTCCATGTTTAACAAATGAACTACAATGCTTCTGGAAAAAAACAAACAAAACTACTACCACGGATATTGGATTAATTTTGAAACAGAACATTTATGACCAAAATTATATATATATATCTTTTAACTATGAGCTGATCTTGCAGATGCAGGTAAATGTCACATATCTAAGCCTGTCCCAAAGAGCCATAATTCTAGATTTTCATGTAGCTATGAATACTATTACCTTTTTTCTTGTGATGTCGTAAAAAGAAGATAAAGAAAATTCATTCTACCCAGATTTTGACTTTTGATATAAGATGTTCAACTCAGTTGTTCATTTACAGCTTGCAACACTTTGTGCCTAAGAAGCTCGCATTTCTATCAAAATGTCTAATAAGCCTGTGGGTGCCACAAATATTATTTCCATCTTCTCTTACAAATGAGGATCAAGGTAGAGCCGCACAGTATAAACTATTCTCTTAGACAAGAGACTTCAATTCTAAATCATATCCATCATTTCCTGCAGAAGAGAATTATCAAGTGGCATGCAGCAAATATTCCTCTATGCCAGACAACAGTCTCTATCTATAAGTGAACACAAAGAATTGCAAGGATAAAATTAGCTCCCTAGGAAAAAAAAAAATGGATAACTATAAGTTGTTATTTGCTGCTTAAAAATATAATAAAAAACACTAATAGCTGATGATTACATTATCAAGCTATAATGAATATGTTGAAGAACTACAGCATTTATAAATTTGGGGGAGGAGGGAAGGGAGGGATGACACAGCTCCACAGCCCTGCTATTAGAGGATATATAGTTAGAACAGCCTACCACATACAAACATTAACTTTTTTTTAGAGTAGTCTGGAAAGTTCTAATGGTAACAACACTCTAGACATGCAGATATATTTTAAAGTGACAGAGTTGCAGGCATCATTATCTTTGCAAGATAAAAAGGAGTCAAGTTCTTGAGCATGCAAATTCTTGAGGCTCAGAACAGAAGCTGACTTCAAAGCAAAACAGTATTTAGAAAGATTGCTCAGGGCTTAATCAAAAATGCAAATTAGATTACACAAAACTTTTTTATGTAGAATAGGGAGGCTAATAGGTGATTGAAGAGGAAGAGTTGATAAGGTTGGTAAAGTGCAAGGCAAAGAGATGCACAGCTCGACCTGTGAAACTGGAAGATATGTGTGGTCATAGATTTTTGCATCCAGTAAATTCTTAAATTTAGTCTCAAAGTTCATCTTGGAGCTGAAAATAAATCTGCAGGTAGCTTCTGAGGAGAGGGACTGAAAGGTAAGAACTGAAGTGACTGCTTTGTGAAAAATGCTCTATAATTAAGTGCTGTGCAATTGCTTTCAATTTAGATTTAGCTTTGAAGTCTGATGCTTCTGTAAAAGACATGAAGGAGGACTTGTGCGTCTGAAACCTTGTCTAAGGTGTCTAACTTTTCCAGTTATGCAGTTGACTTAATAAAAGAAACAAACTTTTATCTACTGCCCTTGACATTTTAACTTTAAGCACAGTGATCAGATATATTTTGAAGCTGTACCCTGCTGCAGAGTTATGGAGAGTATTTATTTCGATGGAGTCCTCCAAGTTGAGCAAAAAAAAGGCAGAAAATGCCTGAGAACATTGCATATGAGGATGCAACTAACATATTACTGCATAGCATTCCTGAATTTTTACAAAGATACATGCTTGATGTAGGAAACACTTTGTACTGAGCAATGATGTTTGGAATATGGCTGTTAAAATAGCAACTATAACCAAACTCTAAAATCTAACATCTTACAGAACAGATTTTTTTTTTGTCCTTGCTCTAAACTTTTCCTGTGTCTTATTCACTTGACCCTTATATGGAGCCATAATACAGTCCCATAAAAAGAGTAAGAATTGGTTTGCTCCTCCTTTTCCTCATTTTTTTTTCAATTATGTAAAGGCTTCTAAATGAGACATATCTTAAAAGTCCAAGTTGGACACACTTTCCACATGGAACTTAAGTTTAGCCTTGGAAAACAAGAAGTTTGTGGTTTAGTTTGAAATATATAACAGGCATCAAGCAACTGACTGTGCAATTCTTATTGCAAACCAATATAGCAACAGGAAAATAAAAGGAAAATTAGGGACAACAGAGGCGCACGAGATCAAAATTCCACATTTGTATTAAATATAAACCTAATATACGAAATGGTTTATATATTCATGTAATGTACACAAAAGCAATCTTATTCTATGCTTCATTTCAAACCAGTTTGTATTAACTTTTAGTGTGAGATTCTACCTGCTCAGGCTCTCAGACAATGAACAAATGCTGCTTTTCAACCTTCCTTAATAAAATGCTTTCATCTTCCCCTATTGGTAAATTAAAACTAACCAAATCAAATAAAGTAAAATAAATCCCTACTAAAACTTTGGTAAATGGTTTCACTTCCAAACCTCAAAAAATAGTATGGAAAGGTCAGAGATGACCCAAAGTAAACTGCCTGGTATGTGTTGATACACATACTTAAAACCT